ATCGTGACTCCAAACCACACAGACGTCTGGGGCTCCAATCTGGACCCTTGCCCTTACCAGCTGCTCAGCCTTGGGTAAGTGACAACTTTTTTTTTTTAAACCAGTGTTCTCTGTGCTGAGTCCTTATATTCTTCACCAACACATTCACGGTTAAAAAAACAAAAGCCTGGTGATGGGTATTAAGGAGGGCACGTTCTGCGTGGAGCACTGGGTGTTATGCACAAACAATGAATCATGGAACACTACATCAAAAACTAATGATGTAATGTATGGTGATTAACATAACATAATAAAAAAAACCTCAAAATATCCACAAAAGCCAGTTTTACTTTAGTGTGTCTTTGATGAAGTAATACAAACTATGTATTTTATTAAACCTTGAAAAAAAATAATAAACCAGTGTTCTCAACTGCAGGAAGGAGTTAAAACTACCAGATGCACACAGGGCTTTACATAGAGGGATCAGCCAGTAAATGATCACCATTACTATTATTTCCTCTTTGGTCTAGCCTTATCTTCTACCCTTAAAGCCCAGCATCAGCTTCCAGTGCTTTCCTACCAAATCCCGCTCCTTCTGTTTTGGCTGGTGGAGTCTGCCTCATGCCTTTTCTGTCTGTAAATCCTCAACCCTGATCAGCCTGTTTTCTTGTCCCAAGAACGTGCATTTTCCATATGCTCGCCAGCTGGCTACCAGCTCCGTCTCCTAAAGGTTAAACTTGTGTTCCGGAGCATTCTTTCTGAGCATTACCTTTTCTTAAAAAAATGCAATACATCCGTGGTTAGGAAATCAAAGCAGCCACACACACACACACACACGTGCAAACACACACACGCACACCCACCTCCATACATGTCCATGTGAAAAATCATCTAACTCTAAAGAGTGTTTCACAATTCTCCAATAAACTTTTATGTTTTCCTGCCACAGAGACTTCTGTAATTGACAGGCTATGTCATTAACTGAACTCTGTAACAACTGAGCCAAATGCATCAGCTGTAGGCAGCTTCTAGAGAAGGCTTCTGTGATCTCTGGGCCATTGCCTTCCACCTCCTTGCTTCTCCGCATCCCCGGCCCCTACCACAGGCACATCTGTGCTTGTTTCATTGGCCTTCTGTATGCTGTAACCAAGTACAGGCCAGCTGTGAAGGAAACAAATCCACGCCCATCAGAGCGCTTCTGACCTGCTCTGTGGTTCTGCTCTTCCCAGCTGGGCCAGCCTCCATCTGGAACCAAACAAGGACCCAGGGGTTCCAGTCAACACAGAGCTTCCATTGCAGCTCGTCGTGAACATGTGTGCCTTTTGAGACATCCACTCGCCCAGTGTAACTTGAGAAGGCATGTGTAAGGAGTTTGGGTCTCCTCAGATGTGGGGGTTAGGTTGAAGAAGGCTCTGGTTGAGAGAATCAGCCTTCAGTGGCTGTGGCTCTTCCTGGGTCTGTGGAACTGAGCACATTCAGGGACCTTGGGCCAGGGGTAAGGAGCGTGGTGGAGTGGGTGGGCAGACGTTAGGGGGAGGTTGGAGTGGGAGGAGGGGCTGCTGTAGGCTATTGGCTACCCTCTGTGAGGCTGAGCAGAGCTGGAGCTCTGGTAGGCAAAGCCAGGCCTAACCGAGGACCTGACATTGGGTTTGCACACCCAAGGCTATTCAAGCTTAAAGTCTGGGGGATGCGTCTTCCTGGTGAAGCCAAATAAATCTCTAGGTAGCCATAAACTGACTACACAGATTTCATTTCTGAACACATGTTCAAAGGTGATAAAATAAACGCAGATGGTTTCTCCAAGCTTCAGTGGAGGGTTTTTACATGGACTAACTAAAGTAAAAAGCACACACAAACACACATACAGGAAAGGGAACGGCAAAGAAATCCTCAAAAATGCCAACCCAAAGAACCAAATGAACCAAAGATCACCCTGGAGAAAGCCTTGTTAGACAGAGACGAGAGGGAGAGGTAGCAAGAACAAGGCTGTCTCACGCATTTGCAGGAAGGAACAAAACACACATGTGCACACATCAGAAAATCACAGGTTGCTAGCAGTTCTGCTAAGGAGGGTTAGAAATACCTTTCCTGGTGTGTCGGCTGAGGGTTCAAGGCCTGTTGGTGAGACTGGGCCAGGGAAATGGGGCAAATTCTCCCTTAGGGACTACGTCTTGTGGGGTTGGTGATTGATATACTTTAATCAGGGCTAATACTCCACCTCGAAGTTTGGAAGTTTCTACCAGAATTCCAGAATGAGAACCTGTGCAAATCCCCTGATAGCTAATCATCATCATCATCATCATCATCATCATCATCATCAGTAACACTCAAAGGGACTTACGAGCCAAGAACTGGATGATTTCATTACATTGCAAAACAATCTCATGATGTAGGCACTACCCTCATTTTATAGACCAGGAAAGAAAGTCTCAGAGAGGTTAAGCAATGTGCGCGAGTTCACACAGCTTGTAGATGGAGGCCCCCGAGAGACTTATGGGAGGGCATGCAGAATCCCCCACAATGGCCAACAGAATTCTCATGGTGGTTGCCCTTAAGGAAGTGAGGACTGTCCAGTCTGGTCCCTGCCCCTCTGCGCAGTAGAATCTCACGGTGCTGGAAGCCCCCACCAGGACAGGTGCATTATCTGAGGACCTGTGGCTGCTGGTGGCAACAAAGCTGGGCCAGAGCCGGTCTCCTCCCGTCTGGTGAAGCTCTTCACACTGCAGCACCCCTGCCTGTGTCCTGGAGCTCCATCAGGACATCAGCCCGTACGGAAAGATGGAGGCCAGTGTGGCGTTCTCCCGGAGCAAGACACTAGCCCGCCAAGTTGCCTCTAGGGCAGAGAAGAGCTTAATTAGGGAGCCATGGCAATGGTAAGTATGTACACTAGATAGAAAGAGGCCTCCTGTGAATCTTGAGGAAGGCTCTGCCCCGGGCCCACAAGCCTGACATGTTGACTTTGGCAGCCCTTGAATGCCCTCTTATGCCAATAAAGTTACTCACATGGAACCGGGTAATGTGTTGCCGCTTTGCCACCCAGCATGGGGAGGCTGAGCCGTCCCAAAGGCCTGAAGGCTGGAGTTCCTTTCTGGAAGGTTTTCATCCCAACCCCAGGCTCTCTTTGTCACCAGAGCTGCACTCAGCCCAGAAGCACGTCGCTCCAGACTCTCTCTCCACGGGCAGGCAAATTCCTTCGCTGGGGTGCTCTTGTTTAGGGATGGTGCCTTCCTGGGCTGGGGGCTCTGTCACCCAAGCGCATCTCTCCGGGCAGCTGGACCCTTCAGACCTACTTGGAATAGCAAGTGCAGAAGAGGAACTTCAGTTCCAGTCTGAGAAGAGGGCTCAACTGTAAGACAGCCATTACTCTATCAGCAGGTTCATTATGCTTTTGGTCACGAAATAAGGCCACAAGAGGTTTCCGTGCAGGCAACTACGTTTTCCTTGTCCCTAGGACAGTAATGTTCATTCTGAAATGCAAAGTGTTGCATGGAGCGGGGCGGAGGGGCCTAGTGAAGAGGAAACAGACTGCATCCTCATGGCAGCCGCGGATTTAACTCTTCACCCTGCCACATTTGCTCGATGATCATGGGCAAGTTAAATCCTTAGCCGCGTTTCCTCCCCTGTAAACTGGAGGTGATAATGCCTACCTCAACAGACTTGTGGCAAGGAAGGGTGGCCGTGTTTGCAAGTGCCCAGCAGAAGGTGGGCACGAGGCCAATTCCTCACGTCCTGTCTTCCTTCGTATTTTAGGCGCCCGGAATCGAGTGCAGTATGATGGTGCTCTCAACCAAAGCCACTGCGATTTGTTTCAAGAGGTTCATAAAGAACGCATATTTTATTAGGCAGGTGTTAGATCTCGGGGGCATGGGCTGCTCTAGCTGGAGAACACTCTGGCCTTGAAGGCAGGGCGATGTAGGGAAGGCCCAGGACAGGGCCCCAGACAGAACAACAGTGGGTAGTTGTGCCTTCTACAAGATGGGAGATGAGAGTCCTTGGGCTCTAGCACCGGGGGGAGCGTCCGCTTCCCAGTGGGGAAGGGCTTGGGGAAGCCACTGTGTCTTCCTCAGGTCTGCCTCTGCGGGCGGGTGTAGCCATCACCACAGGGATCCCTCTGGGACTCGGGAGCACCTTCCTGCCACTTGAGCTTTTACCTCTCAGAACGACGAACCCACCAAAAATGATACAGAGGAATACGGCAGCTAAGAAAGGAGAGGAAGGGAAGGAAGGAGGAACTATCTCCAATGCTTGCCCTATGCTAGGAAGTCCACAGTGGTTATTTCGCTGAGTCCTCATGATAGCCCTGTGAGTTAGCAAGAATCCCCACGTGATTTCTGACCCTAGGAACCCCAGGCTCTGGAGAGCCTTCAAAGCCTGGCCCCCAGTCACAGGGAAGGGAGGACCTGGGATCTGAACCCAGATCTGACTCCGAAGTGCGATCATTTTCCAATTCCTCATGCAGCTCTGGGAGAGACCCCCAGAGAAGGGAGGAGGCCATGCGCCCAGAAGATCTCTAGTGAGGAAGTTCTCTTCTGTCTGTAGATTATTCATGATCCATTTCAACTGGCTTCTGGGTAACCATACAATTATTCTGTTACAAATAGTTAAAACATTTTTTCCTATATGCCTAAAAGGATGAAAACCACTTACAGAAAGCAAAACAAAAACCATAGCCAAAAAAAAAAAAAAAAAAAAAATCCAACCCTTAACCCCAAACCCCAAAACAACAAATGTGCTGAAAAGAGACTTCCAAAACTAAAATTGCCAGGTTTGTTGTTACTGTTCCGGGACCGTAACCTTGGAGCAAATCAGAGTTCTAACTGGCAAAAGTGACAATAGAGAAAAGAGAGCAAGTCCCCAACAGTGAACTTGCTGGCCAGAATGAAGTGTGGCGCTCAAAGCTACTGTGTGTCCTTCCAGTGGACATGCCCACAGTGCATTTAATGGACTAATCAAACATGAAGTATACCAGGAGGGGGAGGGGCATCACTGTGTCTACACACAACTCTGACAGCATCTGAGTTTAACAAGTTTACTAAAACGACAGCCATGGCCTTGACAAATACTGAATGCAGAATACTGGTGTACATAGATTTTACAGAGCGTCTCCCGAGAGCCGGGTCACAAGATAAGGTTTAACAGATGGGAGAGGCCTGAGGGAGGGCAAGCACACGGATTTTATTGAGAAAAAAGCTTATATACTGTAGGGTTGCTGAAGTTTAATAAATAAAGGTCAACTTATAATATATAAAAACAATATAAACATTTATATGCTACATGCATATCATATAATTTAAAGTAATAATTTATATATGGGGAGAGATGCCGATTTATGTTCTTCCGATTTTTCTCGACAAGGCACACACGCAGGAGGTGTCTATCCGTATCCATCGCCAGCCCACAAGTTTATTGTTTTCTGACGTCAGTGCTCGGACATAGGTCTGGGACGTTTTGCACTGAGAGTTCCAGTGTTTATCGTCAATCCCCCTGCAACCGTTCTTGACAGGCCTGGCTTCTTTACATCGGGTCTCATAAAAATATTGTTTGACGGGAGAGTTGCCGGTTTTGATCTCCCCCAGCACCGTGACCTGGTGTCCCCGAATGTCGATGGCCGATGACTTGTCAGTTACCCACAGACTCTCGCTGTCGCATACAGAGTACTCCCCCCGGTGACTCTTGTGCTCGGCGTACCTCTTCCTCCGTGACGTTCTGTTGGCGGCCATGGGGCTGCCTATGTAATCCTCCACGAGATACAAGGGAGGGGGTTCCAGGGGGGTGCTGTCACTCAGCAGGACCCGGGGTGAGCTGTAACGTCTCTGCTGCCGCAACAGCTCTGTGTCCATCGCAGTCACGGGCTGGAATTCTGACTTGGCCAGCTCGCCCTGCTCCGGCCTGCGGGGGGCCCCCGTTTTGGGCAGAGTGCTCTGGTAGTTCTCCTTAACGTCCACCATCTGCTTGGAGAGCTTGTTTTTCAAGATATCTGCCTGGATCAGCTTAATAATTAGGGAATTTAGCGAGTCTTCAGGCAGACTCCTTTGATCCATGTTGTTACCTTGGATGCCACGGAGATACGCGAGAAATATCACATAAAACAAGATGGACATCACCTTGTTCACCTGTAAGATCTGAAAAGGAAACACAGGGGTTAATGGCAGGCTGTGGCAGCTGAATCCATGTCATTGTGGGTTGAGTAAGCCTGTGAGAGGCAGCAAGAACACCCAGCTCCTCTCTGATGTCCAGAGACCAGGGTTGTCCATCTCTTTCCTTGGGAAGTACTGCCTCTGTACGAGTCCTTTGAATCTCTAAAGTGCCTTTTCCTCCTACACTTCCACGTGCCTCTCCCTCAATAATCTTTCCTCTAGCATGGTGGCTGTGTGCTAGGGAAAGGGGAGTGCGTGTGCATGTGTGTGCGTGTGCGCGCGCGTTTGTGTGTCTTGTGCTCGTGAATGACAGAGAGGGCAAAATAATTTCTTTTAAACTAAATAAACCAAAAACATGAGTGGCGAGGTCTTCAGTATAGAAGAGCTAGGGCTGTCCCCAGGACCCGGGTCCCCAAAAGCCTCCAAGGCAGAGGGAGGAGGAGGCTCGCACTTAGGACTTTCCTAGACAGAAATCCCCCAGGGCCATCTGCATTTGAGGTCTGCGCTTATCCGCAAACTTCTGTTGTGTGTGGATGACGTCCTGCCACTTCTTTAGCTATCACTTGAGCCTGAGAAGACCACGGTCCACTCCACCTTGGCAAATTATGAAGTTGTACCTGAAAATTATAAAGGCATATTTGCATTCTTTTAGCAACAGGAGCAGACTTGCAATGGTCTCAAGGAACATAGCTCTACCGCCCTCCCCCACACCTAATGCAGCTTCTGGGTCTCTGGAAGGAATACCCCGAGGCTGGGGATGGGTCAGATGCCTGCACACTGCAGCATCAGAATGGGCTCATCCCTGGCCAGGCCCCGTCTGGTGGAGCTGTTCTCCCGCCCTTCTAATGAGCATGAGGGCTGCTCCCCACTCTATGAGGGGGCCTGGCTGAGCTCTCCAACAGACATGCCTCACCAGGACACCCAGCTGCTTCCCAGAGACCCCTCCCCCCAGAGCACTACCTGCAGAAGTTGGAGGCACGGCAATAACCGGCTCAAGCTAATGGGCTGGACTTGCCCTGAACAGCAAGATTCCTTGTGGATTCCTTTTTTGTTTTTTCTTGTTCGGCCTTTTAATGTGAAGTTTCTAGTACACAGTGTTTCTTTTGGGGGCTGCATTTTCATTTTGCTATCTCCTCGTTTAAATGGTACTTGAACCCATCCACACTCTCCTTCTGTTGCCAGAGCAGAACCTGGACACGGGGTTTCTGTTGGGTCCTTATGGGATTATAGGGCTGATCTCCAGATACCTTTCTGGCTGGTCTCTCCCTCACTAGAGCAAAGCCCAGCTTTTCTGAAGGTTGGCGCTGGACGGAGACTCTTCAGGCAGGGAGGGCTGGCAGCAGGAGCGATCTCCACTTGCACTCTGTGATCTACACCACCCCCGTGGGGTAGCCAAGCCTTAGTTACCATTGCTACCACCTCACTGGCCCCCAGGGGCTCACGGTTTCCTCTTTAAGGCTCCAAGCATGGAAAATAAAAGGCCTTCCCTCGGTTCACCTTTGGTATTTGCAGAGAGACTTTAGTAAATCCAGGGGGAAAATAGAAGGGAAATAAACAAGAGAGACACAGTAATCAGAGAAGCGGCCCTGCTTACCAAGTACCCATGTCTGAGCTTGCCCACGCTAACTTGCTCCCGGGACTTCCAGATGCAGCCTCTTTCCCCGTCTTGTCTGAAGTACTGCTCTCTTGTCCCAAAGGCCAGCAATGCTGCAGGCACTTTGCTCCAACTTCCTCTTCCTGGCTCTTGGCCCACCTCTTTGATAAAGGGATCATCTTCCTTCCATGGGAACCACTTTTGTGGACAACTGACTCCTTCAAGGTCAAAGCTGAGAGAAGGATTCTAGCTTCGCTGCCCACCCCTAGAGACTTCTCTAAGAATCCTATTATCCTAAGAAAGTGGTTCCCACAGGATAACTACTCCCCCTCCCACTCTGCATATAACTGACAATTCCTTCAATGTTGCAGGCCCAACAAAATGAATCTTGAACACACAATGTATGGCATGCATGCAACTAGAATTGCATGCCCTTTCTCCCCCCTCCAAACGGAATACAGCTGCAATAAAGCAATTTGGGACTAAAAGTCTATCAGAAAACAATTTATTAAATCCTCCCAAAGCCTGGCCACTGTAAGCTAAGAATACACAGGGTACCTGCTCATGGGGAAATAGATCAAGGATGGTCAGCGAGGGGAGGTCCCAGAGGGAATGAGAATCGATGCACAGATTAGCCAGGAATGACAAGGGTGCATGGACGGGAAGAAAGACGGATGGTGCCAGTGGACTGGGGCTACAGAGGGAAGTGTCTTTATGGCTGGGGCCTGAATAGGAACCAAAGGGTTTAAGGGGTAGAAGAGCCATATAAAGGAAGCATTGAATCCAGCTCCTTCATTGTATAGATGGGGAAAACCTAACTGCAGTTGAAGGAGGAAGAGAAATGCACAGGATAGAGGGATCCTCTGCACTCCCTGCCTAGCTGCCCTTTTCGTCAGATTACAGCTGGGCAAGCACACCCCGGCCCCAGCCCATTTACTCTTCCAAAGCTGCCTGAAAAGCTTTAGGAGCCGTGTGCATGTTCCCTTCCGCTGGCATCCTTTCCTCACCTCTCCTGTTGAAATTACACTCATTCTTCAGTGCCCAGTTGGGAAGCGAGGCCCCCAAAAGCAGGCCTGCCAAAAGCAGCAACCACCACTTCCTTTGCATTCCTGCCGCATGTTTCCGATTGGATGTGGTGGCAGGTATGACAAGCCTCAGGGCTCTCTGTGTTTTACTCACTAGATTCCCTCTCCTCCATGGCCAGGAGCCCCTTCCCGCCTGTGCCTCCGCACTGCGTCCAGGCCACGGTGAATACACAGTGGAGGTTACGGTCTGGGTGCAGGGAGGCGGGGACGGAAGTTGAAGTCAGAAGAGCGACCTAATTTGGAGGGCCTCACTGGAAAATAATTTAGAGGCAAGGTGGTCGCAGGAGGGGTGACGGCATTTGAGCCAACACTCCAAGCCCCCTGGGTGCATGCTCCATTGTCCCATCAGACCTCACTTACAGAACACATATTTGAAGATAAAATTCTTAAGAATTTCAAAATGACAACCACAAAGCATTAAACCCTGAGTGGGGGTCCCCTTCTTGAGTGCAGGGCCTGGGGCGATGGGCACTGGCAGCACACCCATGAAGCCAGCCCTGGCTGCAGGAGCTAGAATGTTCCATTTTGGTGAAATTGTATGAAGGTAAGAGTAGAAAACCATTTTTGGTCAAGAGGAATGGGCAAAGCCCACTGAGTGCTGCATGGGAGGGGGGCACGTTCAGAGCTGTGGGCAGGAGCCATAACTTCAGCTGCAGTCTGGTGGGGAGAGCCTGGGGATGCGCAAAATGAAAAGGCTCTCATGACGACCTGCTTTCCTCCTCTGGGCAGCGGCAACCAAGAAATGTGGGAACCAAGGGCGCTTGGGTGGCTGAGTCAGTTAAGCGTCTGCCTTTGGCTCAGGTCATGATCTCAGGATCCTAGGATGGAGCCCCGCATCAAGATCCCTGTTCAGCGGGCAGTCTGCTTCTCCATCTGCCCCTTGCCCTACTCATGCTCTCTCTCTTTCAAATAAATAAATAAATAAATCTTGAAAAAAAAAGAAAGAAAGAAAGAAATGTGGAAACTAAATGGGGCAGTGGGAGAAGTCAGGATCGTCAGGATGGAACACTGTATCATGGATATGGCTCAGAATTGCAAAAGCATGCTGATTATAAAAAGCAGAATGACGTGTAGTTGATTTTATTACTATTTTTTAGTTTCTGTCCAGACAATACTCACTGTTGCACCTAGGCGGACTGCTCCTACGACACCACCTGGCTGTGCACTGCCTCTGGGAGCCCCAGGCATTGAGTGGGTTAGAACCCAGGTCTCCTGACTCTTTTAGACAACTTTGCCTCTCTCGGGTCCCAAGCACAGAAACTCAACACAGAGGGGCGCCTGGAGGGCTTAGTCCTTAAGCGTCTGCCTTCGGCTCAGGTCATGATCCCAGGGTCCTGGGATTGAGCCCCGCTCGGACTCCCTGCTCCGCGGGAAGCCTGCTTCTCCCTCTCCCGCTCCCCCTGCTTGTGTCCCCTCTTTCGCTGTCTCTCTCTGTCAAATAGATAAATAAAATCTTAAAAAAAAAAAAAGGAACAACACAAAGAAATCAGGCCATATGGGTGGAGGTGGGGGTGAGACACACATGAAAAATTAATAATGTAAGAAAGTTTCCAAATGCCTCTTAGCATTGGTCCTACCCATTTCTGGAGCTCCACTGTTTTTACCATCAAATCCAAAACCTTACCATGATACTTGAGAACAAGCTGTGGGAATAAATCATCTGTAGACTGGTAAGGGTTTCTAACCCACTTGTAAGGCTGCATTAAAACCCAGCACGGGTGCCTGTGGCCACCACCTTGATAATCTGCTTGTAGCTTTCTCATAGTGAGCATGTCCAAGAATGTTGCTACTAGACCTCTCCAAAACACAGATGTTTGAAGCTGGAAAGGACCCTGTGTAAACCCCTCATTTTTACAAGTAAGGAAACTGAGGCCCGGTGTGGGGACGGAGGGAGTCATCTAAGATTAGACCCCTCAGTAATGGCAGAAAGTGACAGAGGACACCCTGTTCTAAAGCTCAATAAATAAATGGGGCTTGTGCATCAGCAACATTATTGTGAGGGGTTAATAATGAAATCTACATGAAAGCTCTTAGCACAGTATCAGGCATGTAGCGGTACCCTGGGAATGTTTGTTGAACGTGAATTTGAGTTCTCTGCACTTCAGAGTTGCTGCATGCCTGTCCATACACACATACGAGGTACCAAGCAGCTGAAGTCAGGAATTCCTTTTCCACATACAGCCCACAGCAATCTGCACCAACACAGAGCTTTCTCCCAAATGCCACTGCTAGCAAGTGCTTGGATCTCAGACCAGCCACACGAGTTGTGGGAGAAGAAAAGATTATCGCAAACTGGAAGC